AGCTATGTTGATTTACAGGTACTTCTTAGTTGCTTAAAGACTAATTTGTTGGTGTTGTCATCCTGACTGGGTGGCCTATAGTAGACTCCCACAATCACACCTGCTTTATTTGTTTGTCCTTTAATCCTTACCTGGAGGCTCGCTTTTGCTAGTGACTGCGCATCTCCGGGGCTGAGCCAAGGCTTCTAAGCTCCTCTTGCTTGTTCCTCATGCTGTGTGTAGAAGCACTTCCAATGCAGTTCCTTGTATCCGGTGCCTTGTGTAGCCAACTAAGGCTCTCACCTCTCACCGGTGGCATGGTCTCTCAATCTTTGGTGTGCAGCTCCTTTGCTCATCCCTGGTGAGCTTCCTTGTATCGCTTTGCCCTGCACACTTCTGCAGGGAGTTAACTCAGGAGTTAAAAGTCACAGTATGAACCAGCCTACAGTATGAGTAACAAAGCCATTGCTTCTCCTAAAATAGTTGGACCTGAGATCTGTAAAGTTTTTATATCCCTTGGCACCAGATGCAGCCAAAAGAATGTTTACTTTAAAATGGGTACTCCAAACTAGGCAAGCAGGCACAGGCAGCTCCCAATTTAAATTAATAATTCAGAGGACAGGAACCTGAAGACCTGACAGGAATGAGAAGGTTTAACAGCAGTCTTTGGGGTCTGGTTTGTCTGTCCCCGCTTGCCAAATGCTCTGTAAAAGAAGCTGCTGGGGACAAGGCTCTTTACAGAGACTGCTAAAACATTTCTTGCCAGCAAACAGGAATTTGGTTCACAGAAATATGTATATATATTTTTTGTGGTAGAAACTGGATAGCTGTGTATCTTCAGTACCTAGAATTTAAACCTGTCCTATTTTTGTGGAGGAAGTGTTGCTACACTTAGGGTACTGTAAATAATATCTTTTTTTCCTTCAGGCTCTGTGTTTGCAACCCATTCTTACAGCCAAAACTGTTATTTCAGCTGTTGTTAGGAGCTTACCTGTGCAGACCTGGGCTGATGCATTTTTTGTAATGGTTGTTCTAATTGCCAGGACCATTCAGGGAGTTTTTGAGCTGTTTTTTTTTTTTTAATTAAAATTACTGTGAACCCATGTTGGAACAAAAAGACCCTTTTGTTTCCTCTTTATTGAAATCCCCAGGGACCCCTGTGTGTAATCTACATAAGCAAGTAACCTGTCTGGAATTGCAGTCAGACGCACTGGTCTCACTGACTGCAAATACCCTCCTCATAGAGGACACTGAATTGCTGCCACAGCCTCTCCCCTAAACAGACCATCTGAGGAGTTATTGCACTCTCAAGCAGCCTGCTTGGAATGAAGCAGTTTAATGTCCTCCTTTTACCTCAGGGAAGGAAAATAGGCATGTTAAAAGATAGGTATATGCAAACATGGTGAAGTTTTCACTGTGAAAAAAGGAAACTTCTTGGTCAGGCTCAGAAGAGGATATAGCCCTAAGTTTTGTTCTGTTTCTGCAAAATTTTTCCAGCTAAGTAAAAGCTAATGTCAAGCTAAGTACTTCTCTGCTTATAGTACCTGCAATAAATTAAGAATTTTAAAAATCTTCCCCAAATTGTGCTTAAGGACCCCAAAGCTAAAAAGAAGACATAGAAGAAATGCTGGTGGTATTAGTTTTCTCACTTTAAACAAAACCAAAAACAGTGTTTCACTGTTCATCTGTTCATGTTTTTCGCATGTTCATCAAGTTCTCTTGATGAACATGAAAGCAATATATTTTTAAGGAAAACAGAGATGCTTAGTTCCGCATCAATATGAGCTGAAGGGAAATCACAAGTTATCTCACAATGCATGCTGGTATTGCAAGAACTGACTGTCTCATCTCTGGTTTTGCATGAAAGGATTTAACTGTGGATGGCAGTGAGTGAGGATACAAATCAGGAGCCAGTTTGACAGAAATTTGGTAAGAGGACTAACATTCACACTATTCTGCTTCTGTTCTTGAGGGCAAAAAAGCTGCTGTTGTCAGCAACACTCACTTAACAAATGTCATGTGGCAGGAAAGTGATGAACAGGATAGGCAGCTGCCTGTGTTCTGGGCTGGAGGTTTTCTGCCCTGGAGGCTTTTAGTACTGTGGGACTGGCTCTGTAAAGTGGTGGGTTAAATTATACTTATTACATTACTTCCAGGGAGAATTAAACTAAGTCTGATTAAGGTCACTTAAATCCTGAATGTGAGGGTTCAGATTAATGAAGGAGAGACCAAAGAATGTGAAGATCCTTTGCATTAGAGGCTTTGCTTATGGGCATGCCTTTACCCTACTACAGTTAATGTAGCTCTCCCAATGCTGAATCACTTTGCATTATACCAAGGGCCAAACTAGCTTGAATTAAGGATAATTACCATGGATCAACTGCCAGGCAGCCATTTGCAAGCTCAGAGTAACTCATCCCTAATCCCAGAGACTCTGCCTGTGTTTTCACATGTGCTTTCCTTAGCAGGTGCCCTGGAGTTTGGCTGAGATCTACTCCCCCCTCTTCTGTTTTTCTACAGGGTGGCCCAGGAGGTGGAAGAGACCAAATTCTGTATCATCATACAGACCTATGCCTGTTCCATGAAGAGTTTCAAGATGACAACCAATTTTTAGAGATACACAGACATCTTAGGGGAGATTTTGTAGTTGATCATGGAGCATCCTGGGCTCCTTTCCCTTGGAAGGAGATGGTTTGCTGCTGATATGAGCATGGTGCCAAGTAACAGCAGAGCCCAACTCAAAACCTAGCCAGAATCACTCTTTTCTCCATAACTGGAACTGAGCTTGAATTGTGATTTGGAAATTTCCTTGAAGTATGAGTGGAACGCACATTGGTCACAGCTGAACACCATCATTAAAGTAAAACCCCATGGTGCTCAGACTTCCTACAGAGAGGAGAACTTAAATCAACATGATTTGCATGCAGCTTACCAGAAAGAAGACATAAAATGTTCAAGTTCATACTTCTATTAACCACTTCTCACTGGCTTCCTTTTCAAAGTCTTCCCTGCCACATTCTTCTGGATGGTTATCACATAAAGATGTGCCACCAGTAGGGACTTCATGGGACTCCCTGCCATCCTGCCCTGGGTTTCCCCACTTCTGCAGCAGGAATAGCCTGGCCTTTCCTCCTGAAGGTGGCATACTTTTGGTTTGCTCCATTTTGCTGTTTGCAAAGCACCTGGTGTTGCAGGTCATGAGACAGACCCTGCGATCTTGACTCCTGCCTGCTGGCAGCCTTGGCAGGCAGCAGTGGGAAGCTGTGACCGTGGGGCAACCTGGAGAGGGCAGGACTAGACCTGGCTCCTCATTCCTGTCCCAGCCTCCCAAAAAGACACTGGAAGCTGCCCAAAGGAATCCATTTCTTGTTCAAGGGTATTTTTTTCTCCCCAGTGAAAGTATTTTGCAGCAGGACACAGCCTAGTAGTAACCTCTGATTTGCCCTGTACTAGATGATGCACATGAGCAAAAAATTGATGGCATGATACATTGTCCTTTTGGTATCAAAAGAGCTTACCAGGAAAAAAAAAAACAAACAACAAAATAAAAGTAAAATAAAGAGAAGATTGCCACATGTTTTTAAGGTACCTAAAACATGAAAACCACAGAGTAAACAGTCTGTGACAGGTCTGATCAGGCTGAGGCCCCAGGAGCACACAGTCAGCTCAGCCTACAAAATGGTTAATTGTAGGTGTAAAGAGCAAACATCACATGCAGAGTGTGACTACTGAGTGCCACATCCAAGCTGGCCCCTGCAGCAACTGTCCCGATGAGTCCCTTCATTCTTCCGTTTTTCTTTTTTTTTTTTCCCCCAGGCGGCTTCCTTGGAAAACGACTTAATTTCCAATTCCCTTTTTTTTTTTTCCTCACCAAACTGATCTTTTTGTTTGCAATTTAAGTAGGTCTGACAGCTAGAAGAAAATAACATTAAAAAGCTCCCTGGGGATACACAGCTCTGCACCCTTCACCAGATGCTTCAATGACATGTTCTGGGGAGAAATCAGGAGCTCACTGACTGCTGCCAGCCACAGGTGCTTTTAGTCAGCCCACAATGAGCAGTCAGAGGGAAGTCGGAGCATGAACATGGGCCATTTCCCCATGGAGGAGGTTTGGCTCCATCCGCTTCTGCTGTGGTTTCTGCAAGGTGACCTCTCGGTTACATGAGCTGCTTTTGAAGGGGTCTGGAGGAAAGGTCTGTGCTAGTTGAAGGTCCCCAGTAGCAATGACCCACCTTGTGTTGTCACCAGGCTTCATCCCCAGGTATTGTTCTGGACAAGCTGGTGCAGAACATATGGAATATTTAGGTGCACTTGTCTTGCATCGAGCCCACCAGGCTCAGCTACCTTTTGTGATGGTAGACCAACTAGAAAAGCAATCTACAACAGAAAAAGCCCAAAATTTTTTTGTTTACTGGTGCTTAATGATCAGCTTTGCAGGCCAACAACAATGAGCACTGTGTCTAAACTCAAAAATAAGAAAGAGAAGTTGGAGGTAGAGATTAATCACTTGCTGCAGAGGATGCAAATATTTAAGACTGCAAAGTACTAGTAAAGCCAGGTACTTTTCCTTCTTAGTTGCTAAATCAGTTAAGAGTAATATTTCAGTTTTGCTCATGAATCTTTTGCAAGGTACAGCACTTTTAGATTACTTTTTACATGTGCACACTGAGGAGTCTACAGCTTGTTAAAAATGAGATTGCAGTCATTGTAGTACATCCAAGGACTTAATCAGCACAGTGCCATAGAGAAGCTGAAGACCTAATGTAGGCTAAATGTAAATTTGTAAAATGGAAATAAGTAAATAATTTGTATCAGCGACATAAATTTCTGTGTGGTTTGTTCATTTTCCGGCCAGAGTTGTTTCAAAGATTTGAGGTTTTTATTAAAGGTAGAAGAAGAAGAACTACAAGGAAGAGAGTCACAGTCCTACTTCAGAGTTGTTTCAAATCAGTTGTCTTCCCCCATCTTTCCTCTCCAGGCTACGGAGCTTACTTCAGGACTGAGGAGCAATCTGGCTGAAGATGGCAGCTGCAAGTGTTGTGAGTATACAGCTATGTCACTGTTCATCTCCTTTTCCTTCCCTCCTCTTTATCTCCATCAGTTTTCTGCCTCTTTTGAGCCACTGGTACCATCCCAACATAGCAGTAACACAAAAACTACTTCTCCCCTTCTTTCCAAGTTGGGCATTTTGCCTTTTGTTATGTATTTGAAGCCAAGAAAATTATGGTTTGAATTATCTGACAGACATAGTGCTTCTACCTGCCATTTTAGTAACTGAAGTTGGCCAGACATCGTGAACTGTTCTTTTGTTTTTCACTCAATTGTCATTTTGACATTTTGACTCATTGAGTTATTCACTCAATGGGTCATTTTTATAAATCTCTGTTGTGCTGCACACTCCAAGCAATCTGAAATGACCTGTTTCACTGGCAGTCTTTGCACTTTCTTATTTAAATGGAATATATTAAGCATCTTCAATTGCATCTGGTGGAGAGGGGCAAACGTACACTTTACTGAGGCTCTCAACAGAAATTTACTAGATGTCCTATTGCAGGTCACACATCCTGGCAAGAGTAGCCTGGATTACTACAGGAATGGCAGCATGGTGTTGTCCCTGTGTGAGAACCCAGTGAACAGCACAGACTTCATGTGTGACAAGAGGCAGGTCAGGCAGTTTGCTCAAGCCTTCCTGCCAGTGTTTTTCTGGCTCATCTTTGCTGTGGGCACAGTGGGGAACACCTTGGTTGTGCTTGTCTATTGCAAATACCACTTCAGGAGGAGCATGATGGATCTGTACCTGCTTCACCTGGCCATCGCCGACCTCCTGCTCCTTTTCACCTTTCCCTTCTGGGCCAAAGCTGCTTCTGATGGATGGATCTTTAAGGACTTCATGTGCAAGGTTGTGAACAGTATGTATAAGATCAACTTCTATGGCTGCAGCTTGCTTCTAACCTGCATCAGCTTTGACAGGTACATCACTATAGTCCAAGCGATGAAAGCTAAAACTTGTAAGCGAAGGTGCCTCCTGCGCAGCAGGCTCATGTGCCTGGCTGTCTGGCTGACATCTGTGAGCCTGTGCATCCCAGAACTCATTTACAGCCAGAGCACACAGGTGGGTGATGTAACAGTTTGCAAAATTATGTACCCACCAAACGTCAATGTGATCTTCAGAGTTACAGTCCTGGCCTTGAAAGTTATCATAGGATTCTTCCTCCCGCTCCTTGTCATGGTGATTTGTTATGCCCTTATCATCAACACCCTCCTACAAGCCAAAAGATTTCAAAAGCAGAAGTCGCTGAAGATCATCACCATGATCCTCACCGCTTTCCTCCTCTCTCAATTCCCATACAATATTGTTTTGCTGATCAAAGCCATCAACACCTACACAGGGGTGGTGCACAGTTGTCAGGCTGCCAACCAGCTGGACATCGGGCTGCAGGTCACCCAGATCATCGCCTTCCTCCACAGCTGCCTCAACCCCTTCCTCTATGTCTTTGCTGGCGAGCGGTTCAGGATGGCACTGGGCAGGATGATGCAAAGCTGTGGCTGCTGCTGGAGCAGGGGCCAGGAGCACTCCTCTGCCTGTGACAGCCAGGAGCACAGCTCAAACTGGTCCTTTGCCATGCTGGGGAGGCGGCGGGTCAGGAACTCCCTGATCCTCAACACTCACTGGGCCTCCTCTGTTATGTCCCCTCCTTGCAAAGTCATCCTGTAAGTTAGTCCTCGCCTTCTCCTCTCCAGAGAAGCACAAGCTCTTTGGAGACCATCTGTATACCCCAAAGATTATCCCAGAGGGGCAGAAAGGGTTGAGGGCCTGTCTTTGACGTGCAGGACCCAACTGAGGGCTGTTGGATGAGAGAACAGGAAACCTTTGGCAGATGGGAGCAAAATGGAAACATACTTGCTATAAACAGAACTGATAGATGTCAAAAACTATCTTTGTGACAGCTGGCCCATCTGCAGCTCAGACCACAACCTGAAATAACAAGTCTCATAGCAGGTGATACACCCAGCTATGGCAGCAACACAGGCAGATGAAGCATTCTGACTGCAGGAAGCAGCAGCAGGGGGTTCAGCCTTCATTTGCTGTCACACCAGGTTCCCCTATGAATGTGGCCTGACTTGGGAGTCCTGCCAGATTCCTACACCAGATCCCATCCTGTGTAAAGGTGAATGGTCTTTAGCTCTGATACTCATTTGTAGCAGTGAGCAAATGCTGCTCTCTGTGCCTGGGAAAATGCAACTCTGTTTGGCTGCATAGGTGGTTTTTCTTGCAAAGAAAAGCCAGTTGTTCATATACATAAAGTGAGCATTGTAGAATGTGGTCTTTCTTATTCCTGTATTTTAGCTGTGTGATGTCATGTACAATGGCTCCTGTTTTCATACTGGAAACAAATCACCCCTCAAAATAAAAAATTAAGGACTTTGGAGACATAGTTGTCTGTCCCAGGGATATTTGCTTCATGGTGCAAAGCTGTCATAAACCAGAACACAAAACCCAAACCCATGGTTCAGCTGACCACCAGTTATGCACCAATATCTTTGAAAAATATATTTAACATAGCACCAGTAAGACAGGGAGTAATTAAGTGTCAAACCTAATGAAATTTGGAATGAGACATCAGGTTGTGGAGGCTGCCATTGCCAGAAGTGGTGTGCTGTAATGCACCCCAAAACCTGAGCCCACAGAGCATCATATATCTGTTCCGCCTTGCTCATCCTCTCACAGGGACATGGCCTTGCCAGTCCTGCCTGACCAAAGCCTGCACCTCCCACTCTTTAATTGCAGGATGTAGTGCTCAGGAGGCTTTGTTTTAAATAATTTCATGTAACCTGGTTTACCTTCTTGTATTTAGCTCTTGCAGGGAAAAAGAGTTTTCACTGTTTCACATTAAAGCATGCTGGTAAACAAGAGCTTTCTGCAGAGTTTGATGCTGCTTTTCTAGCTAATAAGGTATACCTGGGCAGATGGGTGTTCAAGTTTCATATACATTCATTAGGATTTTTTTTTACCTTTTCCTTAGGGGGAAAAATGGTCAAAGATGTATATAATTTTCACTGTATGTATAGGAAGGGTATGGGTATATTTTGTGATTTTTGCTCAGCAAACAGAAGCCAAAATTAAATAAAGGCACTGCCACATACACCAAGGGGATGAACTGGTTGTTTCTTACCCATGCATCCTTCCCAGTTCAGATCCATACACATAACCTGTTTGTGATCACTGCATTTACCCCTCTCAAAAGAAGCCAAAGGAAAACTTTGCTAAGAGGGTCTGTTTCAAATACCTAACCCCTGTGGTGTGGAAGTTGCAGCTGAGAATCCTGCAGGCACCAGAGCAGGTTTAGGCTCCTGACATGAGGGCTGGGGTGCAGAGCAGGTTTCTAAAGGCAGGGGAGGAGGGACCACACTGGGGGAAGATGCTTCTCCATAGCAGCTCAGCCCTATTACCCCTTCCTGAGGCTGGGGGTGATAGGGCACATACTCAGAGGGTTCTCCTGGCTCCCAAAGAGCCCTTGAGTTATGCAAACAAGTGTGCAAACCTTAGCTGCTGCAAGCTCCTCTTCCCTGCACTATGTCTCACAAGCCCCAGGAACCTGAACTTCATGGCCATCTCACCAGTCCCCAAAATGCAATGGGAAATATTTGTGCTCAATCAGCAGGTGAAACTGCTGAGGGTGGTGAAACAGCAATGAATTTGCAGCAGTTTGGGGTGACAGAGTTGTCCCTATGTCATGCAGTGACTGCTCTGAGTCAGGCTGTTCCCATCACTGTGCCAGGGGAAGCTGGAGACCAACAACCTCCCTGGGGGGTGGTTTTTACTCTTGGGGTTTGTTCCACCACGGCTGCCTGCAGTTCAGCAGCTGCTGGTGGCTTCCCAAGCTGCTCTCACCACACAAACTTGGGGGGAAGCTGTCTCCCTGCACCCCTCTGGCTGCAGCTTCATCAGCAACCCTTCTTGTTGGTCAGCACAAAGCAGGGACTCAGTCATGGAGGTGTTTTTTGCCATTACTCCCTCTTGCATCTGCTGGGGGCCTTTGTCTCCCAGCAGCACAGCTCCTCGTGGTCAAACCCTTCTTGGGCTCCTCTGTCCCTCTGCCTTGATAGTTTACTTGCATTTATCCCACCACAATCCCTCTTGTGCCTGGCTAGGGTGTCCCCAGCCTTCACCTGATGCTCTTTTCCAGGACGGGAGGTTTCCTCACAGGCAAAGGGTATTGCCTTCCTTGCTTCATGAGCAGTCCCAGGGGATTCTACTCATGTTTTATGCACAGCTCTAGCAGGATGAGCACCCAGCAGTTGCTGGAAGTCCTGGTAAAGGCCTGAGATCTTCCATAGCTTGGGTCCCCTCCCTTCTCTTTGAGGTCAGTTTTTCCTAGATGTTCCCAGGTTTGGGCTGTAGTCTCCCATGCTTTTGCTCTTCTTCAAAGAGGCAGCCGGACTCGTCCCTGCCCCAAGTGTTGCATTGTCACCATGGTGCAGGCAGTCATGTAGAGCAGCACCAGCCTGCTTGTGGTACCAGGGGAGGAAGCTGGGAGAGCCCATGGGAAACTTTCACTCTCTGCAAGCAAACCTGCCTACCTGGTGCCTGCTCTGCCTGAAACAGAGACATCTTTATGGAAGCACCTCTTCCAGAGAGCAGGGAAGTGACAGAAGGGTGTGTAAGTACAGGAATTATTACTATATTTGGACTTCAAGCCTCCCTGTGACACTTCAAGGAATAATGAAGAGGATATGACAACCTTGTGGCAGCTTCACATGGTCCCCACAGAAAAATGTTATCCTGTTTGTGCCAAGACCAGTTCTTGGGGCACAGACCAAGAAATATAAGGCAGAAGTAGGGTTGTGAGAGCCTTTTCCCTGGCACCAAGGGAGGGGATATTACCCAGGATGGATAAAAATCCATTACTGGAGATGGACATAAAGACTTCAATGGCTGCAGCAGTTCCCTGCAGAGTTGAGGTACCACAAGGCATTGTCACTTACACATGTACTGGCTATATAAAACTCATTCTTTGCAGTCCCTCACACTCCAGATTAGGCTTTGCTGGAGCCTTTCCTAGAAGGAAACTTCTGAATGTGAAGCCAGGACTCCAGATACCTCTGGAGATGCTCTGAAACTTCTACTGGTAATTCTAGCTTTGAAATGAGGGGACGGTAATATAAATTTCATAAAACCCCCAAGTAGATTATACAGTTATCAGATTTATCTTCCACACAATGCTATCTCTACAAGGCAAAAAAGGGACAAACATTTGCAGTGATAAAGAATTTTATTCTTAAATTCCTGAGGTTAAAAAAGAAAAAAAAAAAAGCATAAAGAAAAACATTCCAACACAACCATTAACATTTCTGTAACTGTACAGACACTGGTATACATGATTTTTCCTATATCTGGAGCAGGAAGTTTGATGTGAACAGGGCTTGCAATTCTTTGGCAGTTAAGACCAAAAGATGCTTCTGAACAAGTTACAACCTCCATGATTGAGCATAATTAAAACTATAGTGCAATTTCAGTTTTAGGAAAAAAGTCAGGCTTTGGTAGCTTTGCTATTTTTTAATGTGGTACACTCTTGTGCAATACCTCTTTCATTTTTCATAAAGAAACACTGAGTAATGTTGAGTAAAGGAACACTGTCATTTTCTTGAAGAAACTACATTCCTTCCTTTGCAAAAACCTCCTTGTAATAAAAAAATCTTACTCTCTATATCTCCTTATGCTTTCCAGCACCCATAAAAACATCTAATTGCTTATGCTGACCACAATGTTTAATCTCTTTGTCCTATGAATGTGAAATCTCCTTCAATTAATTTCATGATCAATTTAAAATATTTTTCTCTTTATTGCATTCCTGCAGATAATAAAATCCTAATTCAACACATCACCTGAGCACCTATAAATAAAAGGTTCTTTTCAGCATTGCTGGCATAGCTCACATGAACAAGCATTTTGTGAATGGAAGAATGGGGTGCTTGAATGAAATAATCTCTTGCACAATGAAATAATCTCTTGCACAAGCTTGCCCTTGTGCAAAGTCCTTTACTGGGTTTCCATGATTCCAGTAATGAACTGTCTGGGACATTTAAACAAAAGGTCTCTATTAATATCAGGTTCTTTAGTGTCTCTGCACAACCTCTTAGAGCTGTTATGATGGGATTGCTGCTCCTGGGAAGCTTCTTTGAACAGTTGCACTCCTGTCCACTTGCACCTTACCAGCCTGATACTTCATCATTGAAATTTCTTCTCCTTAAGTACTGTCTTTGGTCAGAAGCAAACATTTTCTTTTAATCTTTAAACTACAGCTTCTGACTCCCACTCTTAGTTGTCTTTCAGAGAGAGAAAAAACCCCCATAAAATTAGTCTCAAAGGGCAGGAAAACCTGAAGAAAAGGGACCATAAAGACTCAAATACTAAATGAAAACAATCCAGTGGATTTACTTTCCTTCTCCCTATCATAGGCTTCAGCCAGTCTCAGGACTGTCTACATGAGAGACCTCCAGAAAAACATCTGGCTTACTACATGGAGACAATTATTTTGAGAGCTACATGAACAGGGGCTTAAAAACATTTGCCACAGAATAAAAAAAAGTCAAGAACTGGATGTGGAGGGAAATCAAGAGGGCAATCAAATTATTTTTAGTAGATAGGCTTCAAATACTTTTTAACAGAGATGTCATATTTTGGCTGCAGATACTTGATAGTGTCCCTTTACC